GGGGGCCAGAACCGGCCCACCAAAGGGTCCACTCCGGCTCACTCGATGACTTTGCACACCTAGTAGTGATGCACTTGTGAAGTTGCCATGGTGTTCCCAGGACAGATTGGATATGTAATCCCTCCAGCTTGTTCTGGGTCTGCCCTGGGGCCTCCTGCCAGTGAGACGTGCCCAGAACACCTCTAACGTGCATCTGATTTAAAAGTGTTATTTCTAATAGCATAGTCCAAGGTAGATTATGACTCCTCCTCCAGCCTCTCCTCCTTCTTCTTCCTCTTCCTCAAATCAATGTGGTGTCTGAATCTTTTCCAGGTTGAGGATTTCTTTTATTTTTGTGTTTCCTAAGAGTGATTGATCTCTTCTAGCAATTCAACATCCAGTAAATCATGGAGTCCTTCTCCTGCTCCCTGGTATTGTTCTCCTGCTTTTCTTTGAGCTTGGCGAGTTCAGCTCTGAGGCCCTGACTGACCTCCTCCTCCTTCTCAGAGGTGTTCTGCTTCAGGATCTGGATTTCCTCCTCCATCCGTTGAACCACAGTGTCCTTTACTTTCAGCTGCTCAAGTTCTACCCTCAATCTCTGCTGGGGAAGTTTCTTGGTTGATTGTGTACGCTGCTGTGAGCTCCATCATCTGTCCTGCAGGGTGCTGTTTTTCTCTTGAAGGAGCTTATTTGTCTCCTTGTTTCTGGAGAGACTTCTGCTTTACGTTCTCCTCCTGCAAGCCGCTGAGAGTTTCAGCACTTTGCAGCTGAGTCTTCAGCTCCTCCACTTTTCAAGAGGCTTATTCTCCTCCTCCTGCTCCCTGGTCTTGTCCTTCTGCTGTTCTTTGAGCTTGGTGAGCTCAGTTCAGAGGCCCTGACTGACCTCCTCCTCAATCTGGAACTTAATGAGCAGCTCCTGGTTGGTTGAGGCCTGTTGTTCTTTCAGGTCCTCTAACTCTTTGAAAAACCACTTCTCATTCTCAGAGGTGTTTTTCTGCTCATCAATCTGTGTAATCAGTGTCCTTCACAGCCATCAGCTGCTTTATGGCCTCCAGATCCTCTGACACCTTTTCAGCTCAGGACTGAATCTCTTTGTCCAGCTGTTTCTGAAGGCTGTCACTCTTTTCTTTTTCCAGCCTTGAGCTCAGCTTCATAGCTCAGGTTGATCTGCTGTGAAGCTTTCAGATGTTCAATTTCTTGCTAAAGAGCTTCATTTTTGTCTTTTTCAGCCTGATGCTCTGCTGAGAACTTCTCTTGGCTGATCATGTGGGCCACTTTGAGGTCTTCGAATTCTTTTTGAAGCACTTTCTTCTGCTTTGTTTTGATGGTGTTTTGAACCTCAGTAGCAAGACTCATGGTGTTCATGGTCTCTGGGTAGCTGAGCCTCTTCAGCCTATCCAGTTCATTGCGGGTGTCCTTTTCTTTGTCTATGGGCATTTTTTTGAGGCTCTTCTGATGGGCCAGCTGTTGTTTAGTGTCTTCCAGTTCTTTGCCAAGCTGCAGCCTCATAGTATACTCCCAGCAGTATTTGGCACTGAGTGCCAAGAAGTAACTCAGCTGCCTCATTTGGTCCTGTGGGGTAGGGCCCCAGGGCCTCCTGTTGTTTCTCGCCTGCTCCATTTTTAGATTGTAGTTTAGCAAAATTTCTTGTATAGATGCAGCCTGTCACTGATGAACAGTTCTCTGTGTCTCTCTGGTTTGGCTCTGCTAAAAAAATGTGTTCTCTCTCTACCATCCTGACACACAATGGCAGGACAGTGTCATCACACAAGCATTATTTTTAAATAATAATAATAATTTCTGAAGAAATGAATACTTTTACTTCTGGCACTTTGTTTTGATGCTTATTTTGTACTTTACTCAAAGGAATACTTAACCCACAAAACGATTGTGTTAATGTTAATTGAATCCATAAAGTAAACGTTGTTATTATCACATGCCTCCATGGAAAATGACATACATATTGATTGATTGGGGAGTGTGTTTAACAACAGCAAAACTATACCAAAACATCCATTAACAATCTCTAACACAACTCGTGCAGTATAATCCAAGTCTCATTTACTCCTTGTATGCTCAGTGCTTCCTAAACAAATTGCGTATTTGCTAAAAAAAAAAACCAAAGGAGTCTAGCTTTGAAGAATGTATAGATAAGTTTCACTTTCTGTTCAGTTGTAAATAGTAGTTATTTTTAAAAATGGCAGTACAATAGTCACTTTTTATTTATGGCCCTTATGCTTCTAAATGCTCCATATGTTTACCAGCTGGTTGCTAACTGTTCTGTGTTCGGTGTTCGGCAAATAGTGAACAGTGGATTTATCAGAGCTTTTCGCAGATGCTGTTGGAAATGAGGTTGACAAAAGCAATGAGACTGGAAAAAAAGCTGTAAAGTTGAAGTCAGGAAACCAAAACAATGACTTATAAGACAGTGAAGTGCCCTGTAAAGATAAGGGGAACTACAGAGTTGGGTGATAATTCTCTGTGGGTTTGTCACCATGAGCTACCCCTTTATCATAACACCCAATCATTGTTAATATAAAAATATTGCTTCAGCTTTAACTGATCTTTAAGAAACAGAGATTCAAGCAGGTTCAATGTAGGACTGAACCAAAAATTCTGATGTAAAAGCAGGAGGACAATGCCATCCGTCATACAGGGTGGTGCTTCTGCCAACAACACTGTTGGCACATACTGATTAACAGTAATGACTCAATGATAAGATGTGAGACTCCCTCCGTGTATGACCAAACGGCAGCCAGCTGCAATGAGGATAAACGTCACTCCCACCTGTTGAGTCATGACAAAAATGACACATCAAGACTGGAGAAAGGACCAACACTGTAAAATAGGGAAGTGAAACAGCTGGGTTGGTCTTTAACCCTGTTTGGTAATGTAAGGGCGAACAAAGACGAGTCAATAAAGGTCACTAAAAAGCAGTATACACACAGAATAAAGAGAGATACAAGTGATATGGGAGTTTCATTTTATACCAGTTTCACCAATTTAATGCTTAAAAATTTACAAATATTTTATGATTTCTCCTAGAATAAGTATCTTGCCTAAAATAGCATTCAGAATAAAGAACAAACTCTCTATTAGAAGACAGAAGTCACTGTAAATAAAACTAATTTTAAAAATAGGGAGTGACAACAACTTGCAAAAGAAAAACTGACCTATTCTCCACAAATTATTTAACCCTGAAATTAAAGGTCGAGTTTGTAGGATTTAAGCGGGATTTATTCTCATGCGTCAGCTCTATGCAGGTCCTACGCCATAGCTTACACACTTGGCCTACGCGGCTGTGAGCATTTATACTTGTGCGATGGTGTGTCTGTGTCACTCTGCAGTTACACCTCCAAAACACTAGTTGGCGGTGGGGTTTCTGTGAAGTGCTGTAAAGTTTAGTTGATTCAAAACACACATTAAACATGGCTTAATAGAGACAATTTCAAAGACAAGTACACAAATTAGCTTCACAATAACTCATTCACAGACAAAGCACTTGTCTTTTGCTGGACACATTTTCCCAACAAATACAACATGCTAATGTTTTTAGCACAAGCCTATGGCATTTTACATTGTATAAATTAGCCTAGCGGCTGTCAGACTTTTCCTGAACAACAGCACGTTTAGCTAAGGTAGCATTACAAAATTTGGCTCTATTACAACTCATGAGGCTCACTGACAAAACAACTGTCTTATACTAAACACATTTTCCAAACAAATGCTAATGTTATTAGCAAAATCCTGACATTTTTTATAAATTATCCTAGTGACGCTTGCAGATTTCCTTTATTCGTATGAAGCCAGGATAAATCACACAGAAGACTCAAAATGCTATTTTGCGGAGGCTTTATTGTCTTCACAATTCATTGTTTCTTATTCTGTGAAATAAAAGTAAATAAAAACTTTGTTTCCACTGAGGGAAATGGTTTCAGCTTACAGAAATAGACAGGAGGTCTGCATCGCTGCAACATGTAGTCACGTCAATTTGAGGCAACATATAAATCCCGCCATAGTGGCCTCTAGCGATGATGTTGCAGAACTGAAACTTCTCCCCAGTGCCAAGAGTGTAGGAGACGATGACCGACTTGAAAATGTGAATGGCCCTATCTATAGCCAGTGTTTGATTTGCCTGCTCTGAGCAAACTGTAGAAGAACATGTTAGACTCTGTGGAAGAGGACCACTCTATATGTTGATATAAAGCGGTTCATTCTAAGCTAACAAAAACACGATTTTCAGGTGATTATGAACTAATGGAAACATTATTATGAGTATTATCTAACATTTTTGCCATTATATCTCCCTAAAGCCAACACACTTGACCTTTAACTGGTGCTGACCCTCAATTTAATTTTTAAAAGATATTGTTCGAAGGGTCTAAGAGGTCGAGAGTTGGAGTAGTGGCAGAGAAGTTCAGCAATATACTGGGGTGCCAGCCCATGTATGACTTCATGGACCAATCACCCACCATCACTGATTGACAGGTTAAACTACAGGACGTAAGAACTGTTAAAAAAACAAACAAACAAACAAAACATTAGGATGACATGAAAGGAGTACATTTTATTTTTGAAATTGCTTTGTTTGGATATTCTTGCAATTTAACAAATTCTGGTGTTTAGATAATTAAAAATGTCAAATTTGTTATTGTAGGTGATTGACTTACTGATTGGCTGATGATTAACACAATTAATTGAAATAAAGCTTAAAAGAACCAAGTGGTCAACACTGTCTTATTCAGAAACCTTACAAAAACTAGTTTTGGCCTGTTCCAGCCAATACTCACCAATTAAACCTAATTCTATTAGAGCAGACAGAAAATAAACGGCAGCACAGAGACGGAAGGCCTTTCCGGGAGCTCCCATCACACCCTCCGCTGCCTGGACTTCTCTCTGGGCTCGTCTGAAATCGCAGGAGAGGAGGAGAGGAGGAGGGAAGGAGGGAAGGAGAGGAGGGAGGAATGATTTTTGGGGGGGCGGGATCTTGTGACTCACCAGCAACTTCCTCAGTAGTAGAACAAATGTAGCCGGCAAGCTGCATCACTCTTCGCCACAGAGATTTGACTACTGTCAGAAGACACACAAAAAGTTTTACAGCTGACGAGCGACGCTGCTGAGCCGCCGGAGTTTAGCGACCTGCAAACTGATCCCAGTCCAGATCTGAGCGAGACTTTGGAGACCGTGAGGGAGGCGGGTTACCACTGTCAGGGAGCAGAAGGTGCCTCCAGACTTCAGACACTACTCCTGGTAGGGCTTCACTTTTTATTCATACCTTGTTACACTTCTTTTGATGTTTCTTTGACCTGGCTTCACGAAACTATTTATTTCACGTTTAAATTACTTCAAAAAGTGTTTTATTTGATGGGAATTAGTTTATCCCAAGTGTCATTGAAAGCATCATGATGACTGGCCGAGGTTTTTCAATGAAAATTAATGACACAAAGCATCACTGAAGTTTGTAGACTTCAAACGCTGTGATAACAAAACTATAACTATTTAAATTTATAATTAATGTAAACAACTTTCTCTCTTTCATAAAATAATTTAAAGTCTTTTTCTCATTATCATTAGTAGTGGTAGTTGCACAGTAATTATCATCTGTTAACATTTAATGTAAAACCTTAAGGTCATATTATCTCTTTACTTTTCACGCTGAGAGTTTTTGCTGTTAAGTAAAAATCAGTGAGTGCAGAGATTAAAGCAGGCGTGGGCTTGACATCATGACAAGCCTTAATACTTCACACCTTAGTCAAACACGCTGCCCGGGGAGAAGCCTACAAAGTAAAACCCTGACAAACGAGGAACCACTTCCTGTGACAAGTGAGGGGGTCTGGACATTTTCTGTCTGCCAATGTGTTTTTCTGCATTCCTTGTTTATGCCTTCGTCTCTTTTTCCCTGCCACTCTAATCACAGTCCCACACGTGCACTCATGTCTGTGTGTAATATAACGCACACACACACACAGATAAGGCAAAAAAAGAAATAAACTACATCCAGTCAGTGGGAGAAGAGACTGTATCGGACTGTGTGACCCAATGAACTGTGTGGAGGAAGGATTAAGAGCAACTGTTGTGTCACGGAAGCTCCCAGCTGAGCGGTGTGTGTGTGTGTATATGCATGTGTGTGTGAAGGCCTCAGAGAGCAAAGTCCCTCAGGCTAAACTTGTCTTTTTCCTTCCAGCAGCAGGAAGTGGGATATGGCAGTGTGCATCTGGGAAGGGTGTGTCTGTACTCCAGCTTCTAGTTTTGTTTTGGGCGTATATCATCACATCACAGCGGATAGTAGTAGTGTCATCCCTGTGACGATTGTTTGGTGCTCCACCTGTTGCGTCATCTGGGCGCAGTGGGCACGGCGGTGGGAAAGGAAAGTGTTGGGGCTTGCCAGACGAGAGAATTTGATCAAGATCTTACATGTTTACGAGGGAATGCATCACCTATTCTTCAGTGCTACAGGGGGGAATCGAGATGAAGGTGTTGCTTATCAGCTTTGTCTACAGTTCAGTAGAAGACTGTCATATTTGATCTTGGTTCCAGTTGGAAGAACATTTGATGTGATGATACCTGACTTGGCACTCACAATTGTTAGATACAGGAATTATTTCGCTTTTTAAGATTTCATTAGGGTTCAAAGTCCAATCTTAAGCATGCATGATAACCATATGCCACTTGTGCTTACAATATGTTAACATTCAAGGTCTGGGACACTTAAGAAACCTCTTAATGCTAGAATTTAATCACATTATCACTCATTTGGAGTTCTAGCCACCTGACAAAATGGACGTCCAAATCCTTTAAGCTTTGTTTTGGTCTTTACCATCTCCTGACGGGAATATCTGGCTCAAAAGGCCGGCACACATGCCACATCTTTAACCGCCTCCAAACACGAAGTTGGGCGCCAGCTTTCAAGAGCGTGGACGCAGGCTGTGTTTGAAGTTGCTAAGCAACCATAGCATTGTTTTTTGAGTGTATGAAGGCCCAAAATGTCTGTGGTACAGATGTAAAGCTCTGGGTAGCCCTGTACTTAAATAATCTACTTCCTGTCCATATGTATCATAGACTGATATTTACAGAAGAAAGGGAAGATATCTACCAGCTGTGATTGGTTGTTCTGTGTCACATGACACGCAGTGTGCATTTCTGGAACGCTGTGCCCTGAAAAACAGGTGCTTGGGAACGCTTGCATGCCGTGACAGTGTAGCTCTCACTACACCAAAAGCAAAAGATTTTAGAGTGCAAAAAACTGTGCCATGTGTACGGGCCCTCCAGTTTCTAAATGTAATTCTTTTACTGAAACCAGTTCCATCCTGCTACGGGAAATGATGTTGACGAGAGCAGTGAGACTGAAAAAAAAACCCCAATAATAATAATAATGAGACATTTTTCAGCCATTACTAAAATTATGGCTTGAATAATGCAGATCTCTCTTCTGTCTGTCACTACAGAAATTACACCTTGGAGGAATTCGGTCTCTCAGGCATCACACTGTGCTTTCACCACTGACAGGTTATTTTTACACAAACTGTTTGTCACAGTAAGAAGCAGAAATAATCCCCAAGCAGCCAAAAGCCAGTCATTCTGTCCCATTTAGCATCTGGGAAGCTTGCCTCGACAGAGCCCACGGGCTGTATAATGTATTTGTTTGCTTTCTTCCTCTTCCTCTCTCCCTCTCCATTTCATTGACCATGGTCACATTCTTCGGAGGTCTCAGTGTTTTCCAAAGGTTAGCCCTGCGTGGTGGTTGGACGCCGGCCAGCTCTAAACTGCAGTGGGACTACAGCTAAATGACTCGGACTGGTTGTGGCTGGTTTTATGGGTTGGCATCGTTTGAAACCAGGCCAACGATAATGATGGAGAATGGGCGGTCAAGTGGTTGCAGGTGGTTAGGGAGCAGAATTTAGATTTGTGTTGAGGCAGTTCTCTCTTGACGTTCTGCAGCTGTTTGTCTCTCCATGGTGTTTCAGAGGACACTCTGGACACAGTTTGTATTGTTTTAATGACTTTGTGTCACATTTGGTGTCGGGCTACGTTTTAATCATCAGGTTTTCATGCTGAGTTCCAAACTGCTGGACGATTTTTACTTCAGACTCTCACGCTTCTTCTGATTGTTTCACACTCATCTGGTCAAGGCATGTTTGTCTCTCTAATCATTAACTGTTTGTTCTGATGTCTTGACATTCTAATTTGTGCTCAAGTTTCGACAATCTGTGAATTCCAGCACAGTTATTAGGGTGCATACCTTGTTCTCAACCTCTTATTTTATGTGGTTCCAACCAGAATTAAAAATGTAGCCCAACCCAGCTTTTAGCTAATCAGACTGATTAAAAAACATCACATCTGTGCTACATGTGAGACCAAATAAAGGGAAATTAGAAATCTTTCTACTTTGGTGATAACAGAACCTGTCAGGCACACATCTCTGGCTCGCTTTTCTGTGAACTGTATCGGTGAGAATGTGGGAAAAACCAAAGTTTCAGATGTATATTTTCTCATAATTCAGATGTTCTTTTGAGTCAGTTGTGTCTCTCCCCCTGGTAGTCTGCGCCCTCTTCAATAGGCTGTGGGGGCGCGTGGCTGGCAGCAGGAGTGTGTCTGAATTCCCTGAAAGGGAGGAAGTGACCTCAGGTTTCCTGTGTGGGGATGGCCAGGTGCTGTGGTGTTATTGTGAGGGGCACAAGACTTCCTCCATGGATGCTTTGTTGGTAAACGTCTGAAACTTGATCCTTTGAGCCAGGGCCCCCGTGGGAGGTAATGTGCCCCCCTCACAATCCAGTCATCCTGCCTTCCCTCTCTCCTTCCCTCTCTTCTTTCTCACTCTCTACACTCTCTCTGTCACAGTGTTCACACCATGTGAGATTTTATGTAAAGAGAACATAAACTTTATATAGGCAGCCATGAAGTGTAAAAGGTAACTGACTCTGTGCTAATGGGGTAATTACATTCCTTTAGAGATACAATTACAGGTCTATACCCAGCACTTACCTGCTACTCTCAAAGGAAGTGCTGTTTTCAAAGGAAATACCAAATTGTAAGCACAGAATTGCAGATACCTCACAACTACACACTTACTAGTTTAATACAAACTAATTATATGTTATTAAAGAGTGGGCTTTGCGTTGGCTCGCTCCACCTTTCACTTCATTTCGCCTCATCTGTCTGTTAAATTTATTACACATTGGATTAATGTAACCCCCGTTTACCTTATCAGCCTTTCCTTTGCAGTCTCACATGAAACAGATGTTGTTTGGGTGCAGGAATCCTGTCGATTCACTGCTGCATCATCACATTCAGTCATGTTATGAACTTGTGCCGAGGAGAGGTGTGAGTCAGGCGTGACTGTTTTCTCCAGCACCCTCGCCTTAAGGGAGGAGGGTAGGGTCATGCTCCAACAGAAGTGTATGGCATGTACTAATTCCCAGGACTTGATGAAAGGAATGCTATGATGCAAAAAGTGTGAGGGTTACCAACTCCTCCATCATGTACCCAACCTGCCTCAGTTTGTTCCTGGGACAAACCTTATTTCCGTCTTCACCTCTGCTGTGGGCTGACAGATTCATTGCCAAAAAAGGGTGCAGATCTGTCTTGAATTGCTCAATGTTACTGTTGCCCAATGAATTGGCACCAATAAAAGCTGTTATCCTGGTAACATAGTACCTTTCTACACAGTGAATCAACGTCACAAAGGTCCATAAATAAGCATGACAGCTAGATACATTTGGTCAGCAAACTGGCGTCCAAAACCAACTAAGCAAGTCCTATAAAGCAGCAGAGAGAAGGGAGGACTGAGAGGGGAAGCACACATTTGATGTCTACAGACAAATTGCAGTGGTTTTTATACAACTGGTAATGTGATGGGTATTATGAATTCATATAACTAATGGTTATGTAGGGCTGTGGCTAATGGCTAAATCATAGGATAACCTATGGTTAATGGAGGCACTTGAGAAGAAGAATGTTGGGGCGAGGAGAGTTTCTCCAGTACATGAGGTAATAAGATGTTATTTCACCGTGATAGATCTCCGCAGAGACAGATGACAAAGTGAAGAGCCAAGGCTTACACTTCATCTTGTAACACCACATCTTTATATCTTGGATAAGAGAATGATCCTCCTCTGGATAATATTGGTGTTGAGGGAATCACTGGTCCACTGACCTACAATTATCATGGCTTCTGTCAGTAGTGGATCATTCTTAAATTGATGTTTGCATGATTTACTAATTTAGACTCTGTACCTAATCTTTGACGCCGA